ATTTATTTTAATTTCAGTAGATTGTTTTTTTTTGTTTTTCGTTTTTTGTCCCTCTTCAAAATTATATGCCTACAAATATGGAAGTGCCATCGAATTAATCGCCACTTTGCGTTTACCTTTTTGTTTTCGTTTTCGAACTGGGATATCCATTTTGGCTTCGTAGGCCTATGTCTGGCGACCTTCAGATCGAAGCCGACTAAAAATAGAGATTCAAGAAATCGGCATTGTCATTCACGCAGATCTAGAAGAGATACTCTTACAACCCGACAGTTTGCCAGCTCATTCATAACTCCATTCGTTACTTTGATGAGTTGCCGCACTTGAGCGCACTTCAGCGTTGACTTTTGATGTATTTTTTGTGCGTTTTTCTATTTGAATTGTACTTGAAAAAAGTGCTACAACACTCGAACACTTCCAGGCCGAAAGACGGAACAGAATCCCCGCCACCAGCAATTGAAAAGGAAACTGAAAAAATAAAACAAGAAACAAAAAAAATTCGAATCTAATGCTAATAAAATTGATTAACATGACGCAGATTGATGACTGTCAGGGCCAAGTCTGCCACGCACTCAGTACACAATTTTTATTGTAGTCTGTAATTCTCCACACAGAGAAAAAATATATTTGATTAAATATTAAAAATAAAACAAACAACAAATTTATGTTTTTCATCTTCTCTAAAATATATCAGCCAGAAATCAGGAAAAACATTCATTTAATTTTAAAAGTAGTCTTGTCTTTCTTAACTTGTTGCTTAGAATAAATAATATTTTAAACACATTTTTTTCTGTGCCTATACATACGCTATATTAATTGTCAGTCAACGCAGCCAACACAGATCGATTTGTTTTTCTCATGAATAATCCCCTGTATTTTTTTTTTTGTTTTATTAAATTTTCGGTGGCACAACTCTGACATTGCAACACTTGTGCCCGCCGAGGGTTAATCTCTGTGAAATTTTATGTAAGGCTTGGGATCAAAATTAAAATTTTTGACTGACACCGTTGGATGGGTCATTATTCCATTGATAAATCGCTGAAGCGTGCGTTTTCCGCTTTCAAAAATATTTACATAGCGCAACCTCAAGCATCGCTTTAATCATTTTCATTTCCGAGAGATATGTGGAAAATGCTTGGATGCTAAGCGATTTTCCGTGTGCCGACATTCCACAAATATTTTTGTGCATTTCGTTTTGTCATATTAATGAGATAATTATGCTTTGATTAATATTTAATTGATCATTTAAAGGTAAGCGTGTTAGGCTTCGAGCAAATTGGGGTCTTGGTTTTCAACTAGAAAATATTTTGAATACCTTTTTAATAAATATTTCATTTATGTTCATTGAGATTAGTTATTTCTTATTAATTTGTTTATTGTTTAATACCAGTTTTATTATTTTTTTCTTCACGCCTCGACGTTTTTTTCACATATTTTCTATTTGCCAAAAAATTCCCAGACCAATTTATTTCCCATATGCATAACCATAGCCCCAGCCCCATATCGTATATCACACGCACTTAATCCCTACTTTCATTTTCGTTTCTCTCTCACTCTTCGCAGGCATTACACAATTTTTATTTAATTGAAAATCAGCCGAATACATTTTTCACTGGGCTTGGGTGTCTGTTTGAATCGCCTTAGCTCTCCAAAGAAAAATACAAAAATTGTGTCACTTGCGGCTTTTCTCTGAGCCCTAAACATTGTAATTGTTGTTGAGTATGGCTTTCATATAAGTATGCATATAGATATATTTCTCTTTATTTCTTTGCATTGTGCATAAAACTGTCTGGGGTAACTTGATACCCGGGTAAAACTGTCGCGACAATTTGTTTGGCTCTGTTTTTTTTTTGGCCTGGGGTTGGGTGGGTTTATTTTGTGGTAGCTGCAAAGTCTTTGGGGGAAGGTTGTGGAGTTTAAACTGAAGTGCTTGTATATTTGACTTTTCGCCGTTTCATGTTTCCTTTAATACCATATTTGTTATTGGCCACCGATTGCATTCAATTTGTTGAATTAAATTTATGATAATGGTTCGGGTCTTCCCTTTCATGATTTTTCCCCCTCTCTTTTTCGCTTGCATAAAGTTTGTTTCCCACGCTGATTTATTTAGTCATTCAAAACACTTTTTTTCACTTGCAGTAATTGTAAACTTCTTCTCCTTTTTTATATTTTTTCTTTATTTGTGCAGCCACCGCAACTATTCCGCTATTTGTCTCTTTCTTGTTTGAAAAATACTTAGCATATTTTATCGGCCAACATTCGTCACGTTGCAGGAGATGTGAAAAGTGTTTGGTGATTAGGAGAGGGGACTTCCCCCGGTACCCCGCAATTTGTCACCCGGCATGAGGTGTCGGGTCCCATGTTCTGGGTTCTCAATTACAGAACCCATAAAACCGTTGGTGGGGACTTTGGGAACTCTGTAGGAGCGAACAGAGCGAAGAGCTATTAAAACCACAAATTGCCGTAACTTGGCTAAGATATATCCGCTTCCGCTTTTTCCCGCTGCCGCATCATTTATCTTTCTTCTTTTTGGCTCTGCTCTGGCTACTTCTTCTTTTCCCTTATTTTTTTCATATTCTAACATTAATCTCTGTTCTTCTGCGGTTTGATTTGCATTCATTTGTGGCAGGAATTCTGGTCGCTTTTTTGTTTTGGCCAGAAAATTACTGGCACCTTGCGAGAAGTTCACTGTTTGCCTAAGTTTCGTTTTTATTAACACTTCAGACCAACCGCAGAAAGAGTTTTTTCTTGCGGGTAGGGCAATAAAATGTTAACCCATTTATGACGATTAACTGTAATTTACTGTTGTGGAAGTTGTGCAAAGATTTGCTGAAAAATAATAACTTGATTTTATGTAATAGAAATTATTTAGTAATATACCTAAAACTCCTATAGTCTATGCTTAAATTTGGAATGCACTCTTTCTATACGATCCTAAATCGCTGAACTTTCAAACCACTTGCGGCGCAATTGCAACACTTCTTCCGATCGTAACATTTTAGAACATAATTCCAGGGTGATCTTGCCTCATCGCTGACAGAGGCAACAACCTAAAAACGTGCCAAACTCGGCCTGCGGTCACATGCAAAACATCGTTTGCCACACATATTTCTGTTCTCCTCTGGCGGAGCATCTTCATCTGGAGCTGGGTAATTTACAAGTATGAAATCAGGCAATGGCCATCACAGGAGCTGAGTAGCTCCGAAGCTTCATTCCATCCAGGGAGCCTACAGTCTAGACCCCATTTTCATTCGCTTCTGCCGCTTCTGGCATTGCATAAATTTGCAGTTGCTGCTGCCGTGAGAAGTTCTGCGATGATTTTCTCACGCATGTCTCTAGGATATGCACGAGTGAGCTTCTTGTAGTATGGTTCCTATAGTACATGTACTTGTACCTAGAGACTTATTATAATTTGTGAACTATTTTTCACGAGCTTATTCCAGACATGGAGTCTCTCTTTCTCGTTCTCTCCAATTAACATTCCGCCTGGGAACACTGAATATATGTATTTCAGGGGGGTTACAACAAATTGCAACAGGTTCAAAAACTAATTTGCATGCATGAAATTGCACTGCGAGTTCAGCTGACTTGACTTGTCTGGAGTTCTCGGTTGGAGTTTGCAGTTTGTAGTTTACAGACACGATCGAGACACCGTCGCTTAGCCGTCATATACACGTATGAACATATGTACATAGAGGCCCAAGAATAATCAGAAACTTGTCCAAAACTATAGCACCAGCTGGCACAGATCAGATCAAGCCTAGCCTCGATCCGTTTGCTTCTATATAGTCGAGTGTGCGAGTTGCCATTGTCTGGCAATGCGGTTGGTCTTTATTCTCATTTCTTGGTTGTGCCGCATTTTTCAATTGAACTTGAAGTGTCTGTCGCGGAGTGACGCTCCCCTGACTTCAAAGACCGAAAAAGACTTGCCTAGATTTGGACAAGTCACTGTGTAAGTGCTTGGCAAATACAGTGCGATTCCGCAAATTAAAGTTACATAATAGCCAATAAGTTGAGGAGAATATTTGAAAATAAATTTGAGAGGCTTATTAAATAAATTAGTTTAAATAATATTTAAAATGAAGTGAAAATAAATATATGAAAAAATATGCGAATTAAATAAAAAAGTTCAAATAATATTTCATCTAAAATAATAATTAAAATGAAGGGAAAATAAATATAACTAAAGATGAGAGTTATTAGCTCAAATAATATTTCATCTAAAATAATACTTTAAATAAATAATAATAAATTAGTTCAAATAACATTTAATCTTAATTAAAATTTAAAATGCAGTTCCAAAAAAAGAAAACAATGAATGAAAAATAATAGTTTTGATCTATCCACTAATATTGAGTTTAGAGTATCTTTTCTTCAATATCATTTGTAAGTTGTTTTTTCTTTGTCTTGCGTGTGTTTCATATTTATAAATGAATGGTATCACTTTGATCTCACTTACTATGGCGGGTAGTTCGATATAAAAGTGTCTGTCAGGGTGTCTTTATAGCGCATATATATATATACCTCTTATAAACCCCATCCGATTTCTTTATATCGCCCCATGTGTGTTCAGTGTTGATTGACATTTGGCCGGCATTTGAAGTGATCTATATGCTTCGCTCAGCTGAGGCTGCTGTCTCGTAAATCATGCCACGAACAACGATTTATATGTCTGCAAAGTCTGTGTACATATATACCCATTCAACATGTGACTCTAAGGTTAAACAGGATTATTTGTACACCTTTTTCTTTTGAATTTTTAGTGTGTGGTGCGTGAGTTTTGTCTGTTCTCCATTTGCCTGCATTAGAGTTCTTGTTTTTGCCACGCTAATTATAATTTATGTTGGTCATGTTGGATGTGACATGTGTTTACCATTTTACCTAGAATGCAACTCATAAATTTTGTGCAACTATAATTTATGCAACGGCAAAGTTCTACCGTTCTAAGATATATATAAAGTGTAAACTAATTTTAATGGTTGTATTTCCCCTTTATTTTTCAGATGCCGCCAATTTGGAGGACAGTCCCGATGTGGAAAAAATCCAAAAGGAAATCGAAACGATCGATTACATTGACAAGTAAGTGGACACAAATCAGTTGGGTTCAAATGGATTTATTGCAAGAGGTGAATTACCATGTCGGTGGAGCGGACAATTACCAGATCTTGGCCTGAACTTGTGCAATTTTCCTGTTTCTGTCTGGTTAACGCCCTACGAGTAAATTTATTCGCCTTCGCCGCCAATTACTGGTTGGAGAATTAACTTGTTGCAATTTCGCGAAAACCATAATTGTTTACTAATCCCAGTGTGCCGCACGTAAAGTTTCCTTGGCTGCTGTATAGCTGCAGTTACTATTCATTTGCTTTGGCAATGTTTACGTCCGATTGTGCAAATTGTGTATACGACACGTTGACCAATCCCAAAAATTGACAAAACACTGCGACGACAGTTGGGTGTTATTATCGTTGATTCGCTTGATTGCTCTACAATTTGCCGATTGCGCGATGAACTTTAATGATTTCGATTGGGAATCGATTGTTAGGAGCTTTTTGGTATTTTTATTCTTTTATTAATGCTAAACGGTAGCTAAAATTAAGGAAAGAATCTATAGATCAAGAATTCCATTCCTAGAATTATTTTGAATTGAAAGGAATTTTTATAATACTTTATTTTAATAAAAAAAACAAATTGAAAGGTTTTTTCCATGTGCCAACAAATATTACAATTTTTTTTTCCCACGTAATACTTAAAATTATTTTAATTTAATCACTTACCGAATTCTCACAGTTAATATCCATTGAAAAAATCAAAACACTGTAATTTAAAAATAATGCTAAGGGCTTGTAAGTAAAATCATTTTCCCTTCAATAAATCTGCAATTTCTCACCCCAAAAAGGCTCATTAAACTTTAGCTGAAACCACGTCCCATTTTGGACCTGCTCGCAAAGCAATGAAACAAGCTCAAAGTGTGAATTATGCAGCCAATTTTTTGCCCGCATTTTTATGTTCGTCTTAATTATTTTATTGCCTGCGGTCATGAGCGCGCATTTAAGCCATTTGCGGACTGCAATTGAGCGACAGCTCGGCCGCAAATGCAACAACATCGAGGAGACGTCAGAGAGATTCGGATCGTCGAAGTTGTTACCGTTTATATGGCCAATGAACACGGGCAAGTTTCTGCAGAAGTAGAGTACATATATTTTTTTCGTATCCCCGCAGATGTTGCGCAATATTTAATTCACTTAAACAGCCGCCAAAATCGGTTGGTGTGGCGAGATTTTCCTTTTATTCATTTTTTTCCTCACTCTGTAGCAACTTGTTAACTTTTTTCAGTCTTTTTAACTGTCCCGAGATCATGTTGTTTTACGGGCGGTGGCGGCCTGTCCAATCGTCAATGTGTTTAATACATAATTTCCTTATCGTTGCGGGATTTTCTTGTTTCGGCTTTTTTCTTGTGCCATTTGGTTGGTTAGCTTTTGATATGTAGTTGAGATTTGATTTCTTGAAGTTTAATGACTTAAAATAATTATGATATTCAGCGAGTCAGGTAGCCGGAGTTTGCTTGTTTTTCATTATCGATGTCTGTGCGCGGCACTTTTTTGGTTTCTGGTTTCCAATTGATGCAACATCAGAAACAAGTTCCCATGTCTGCCACTTCTTCGACGACTTCTTCTTAATTAACTTCCCATACTATATCAATTTCACTCCGTGATTGAAGACCCAAGTGGAAGTTGCCTGGGAAGAGCAAACAAAAATGGCAGGGAAAACATAACGAGATCGGGGCGACAAAATGATCTCGAAAGATAATGAACAAAAAGTTTTTGCAAAATAAAACTGGATTAAATCTTAATGATAAGTCTGATTAATTAAGTCATAAAGCGACTAAAGTTTTAAGTAACTTGAAGATATTTTGACAATATCCATTCGATAAAAACAAAGTTGTGAAGGAAAAACACATATTAAATATAGAGGAATGATTAACTGACAATATGTTTTCGAGCACTACTTGTCTTAGTTGTCTTAGCTGGTAAAATCTTTACCCAAGTTTATTATTAAAGTCAAACTGAAGGCTTAACTTTATTTACACCTTTTGCGGAGGCGGGACATTTCCTTTGGCCATAAACAAATTTCAGGCCAAACCCTAAACCGTTATCCATCCGCATCGGTGTTCCCATTGTGATTCGCCTTGGCGTAGGTTAAAAGTCATCTCGACCACTTAGCCATAAATTAAATCATCATCATTAGCGTGACTCTGACCCATAATTAGAATATTATCTCTGGCGACTAATCAAATGCATTTGAATTGAGATAAATAAACAAATTGAGCAAACAGCCCAGTCATTTCGAACTCCTACAACTTAATGAGGCACCGTCATCGTATATTCAAAAGCCCTCTTCAGCTTCAGTGCGGGAGTCAACACTTTCTTTTGGGATAAGTTTCACTTTCCACTCGAAAAATCGAAGACCTTTTGATCGGACTAAATCGTTAACAACATGAGAAAAGAAAAAAAAACATAAAACTGGTTCAGCTCATGTATGCAAATGAAGTTCAATAAACGCACGAATCCAACTGGCAATTTGTCGCCCCAACGAAACGCATTTAAATTAGCATATAAAAAATAAACCACGAAGAAAACCACAAAAACGTGCGAATATCCGAAGCAAGTTTAAATCGAAATTTGATTACGAAATTTCCTATGCGAACAAATCGAAGGAAACTTTCACTTGTCGTTTTTAATTGCAAAGAGGAGGAGTTTAAAGGATGGCTGCTATGTTATATGGGTTTTCCTTTCCTCAAATTAAATGCTATTGAGCTCTCCGTGATTTTCCTTTGGCAGATTACAGTTTGAGCAGCCAATTGCCACTTGTGGCATGCCAATGCGTTTGATGAACTTTTCATTGAGTCGGAAAACGTGTAACCGTAAACGTAAACCCTGCTGCTGCTGGCATATCATTACACGATTTTACAGAAAGAAAAACCCCAAAAGACGGCGCTGAAACAGGTGTAACCAGTGACCGACCGACCGATCGTCTATTACGTGACGTCTTGATGGGAGACTCCGAGCAGACAGATTATAATAACAATAACAACTAAAAAGAAGATGAAGCAAAAACAACCAAGCATTTAATACCATAAAGAGAAGTTTGTTTTAGCTGCCGCTGGCTAAAGTCAAGTTTAAATACCAAAAGGTGGCCACCAATTGGTTTTAGCATAACAAAGGCAAAGCCCCAGCAAATGGAACAACAACAGAAGATCGAAAACGAAACAATAAATACGGTTTATAAACAGCTTTCAAAGGGTTGAGATTGGGGTAAAGGGCAGAGTTGGGAGCAGAAACAAATTGGGGGATTTACTTAAGGGAAATAAGTATCAGATATTTACGATTAGCTAATTTGTTAAGCTTTCTTACAAAGCTGTAAATTATGAAAAAGTCACTGTTAAATTTTAATTAGTTACGTGGAAATAAAAAGATTTAGGAACTTTTTTTTTGCAAAATGATTTTTTAAAAATCAAATGTTAAAAATATTTTTCGTAGACCTGCCCTAAAATTATTATAATCCATCAAAGCTAAATCTCCGACTCAGATACCATTGCAATCTATGCAAATCGGTAAAATACCAAAAAAATAAATATTTTCCCTAACGGAGAGACAAAGAAACAAGTTTGTCGCCTAAGTCTTTTGTTTTGTCATGCAGCCGAACAGACAATTAATCTATTTATAATGATAAATTAATATGTGAAGAAAGACAATCAAGTTATTGTTTCTGTGAAGCGGCAAGCAAAGGGGAGGCCACATTTAGCGCTCTAATTAAACATTTATCCTTTATCGCAGTTTCCATTGCAACACATCATCCGGCAACGCCTGAAATGCAATCGAAAGACCCGATACCAAATATTTTATGGCTTTTTAATGGATGATGGAAAATGGTTTGGCTAAAATGCAGCCGTATGCGTTGCACAACTTGTGGGCGTTTTGCCAGAGCTCCATTTTTTGTTGGGCCTTTAAGTTTTTTCGTCGTATATTTTTTTTTGTTCCAGACCACCTACAAATATTATGAGCCATTATTAAATGCAGCATTTTTATTGGAACACAGACAACAGGCACAGCGCACAGGTCGAAGTTGCCAAATCTTTTAATATTATTATTTTTTTTTATTTCAATTCTATGCACACCTTGGCTTAAAACGCTTTCACAACAATAAAAGAGAAAAAGTATAAATAAAAAAATACGTTTATGGCCTGCGGGGGCATATGGCACGAGCCTTGGCCAAGTTGAAATGCAAAAACCGAAAGAGAGACAAGTAAATTAAGAGGTGGAAGCCGCGTTGTTGCCTTTTCAGTTTAGGTGTCGGAGTTATGTTTCTCAACTTGTTGATGGAAAATGAAATGGATATTCGAGGAAATGGTTAACCAAATAAGGGGTGTCATTCAGTACTTGGTCTTTATAGAATTTTAATGAGGGTTTTGTATTTGCCTTTACATTAACCTTGAAAGTACATATTTAGATGTATTTAAATAAAGTCAAATAATAATGTGAGCAAAGCCTTTTTATTAAATAAAATTATATTCGAAAAAAAAATAGAATACCATTTAAAAAAATTATGTTCGATCTTTTAGACAGATGTTATTTCACTCAGAACCTGTACACCTATTATTACCCTGCAGCCTTTTTTTTTTATTAATATTTATTTGGCGTTTTGCTTTAAAGAACTGTTTGCAGCTTTAGCTTGCTTGACACATAAATTACTAGTGGCATATCCATAGCTGTTGATTATGCAGATTGCAGCTGAGTGGTCAAATTGTGTACCTTTCCACCAAAAGGAAGTTCCTCAACTTTTCTGGCATAACCGTTAGGGCCACGACAGGCGCCACTAGAATGGAGTGAAGTAAAAGTTAAAGTTAAAATTCAGAAAACGTTGGCCATATGTGAAATTAGCATAGACCAAGAAGAAGAAGAAGAAGAAGAAGGTAACCCAAGTGAGCGTCATGAAATCTAACAAAGCAGTTGCCCCCTGCTCAGACAACAATAAAACATAACTATAAACTGTTTGGCCATATAACACTGGTCTTAGCATGC